CCTCTCTTCACTACTAGAACTTTCACTGCTGAGCAAACTAGGATTCTCTCATTGTACCATGTAACCAGGTGATGTTATTTGAAAAGAATTTTACAAATCTTATGAAAATGTCTTCCTTTGTTTTCCCTCTAACGAAATGCTTTTACTTAAAACATTAAGGAAACAGCTTTCTTTCCTTGTAAGTAAACGTTTCAAATGTAGAACATTGGAAGTAATTTGAATACTTTTATTCTCTGGAAATTACAGTAAAGGAAAAAAAGTCATATAAGATTTTTAACGACTTGAAGTTAGATTTCTTAATATAAGGTGGAATATTTTGAGGATTTGGATGTAAAAACTTCTGTAAGATAAATACTGACTGTTGGAAACTTCTAGATTTCTCTTCTGCTTGAATAAAAGCTTTTAATCTATAGTTTCTGCCACTGTTCGTCAGAATGTGTATGCGTGCATGTACACAAGTAAGTGTGTCAAGCAACAATTGTTTTCAGTATTTTTTTGTTAGATGGTGTGGAGCTGACACTTTTTATTGATTCTCTTTTGCCTGAAGCTTATTCATATAGCTTTTCTAAAGAGACATCTTTCCTTGTTCACCATCATAAAACGTAGTTTCCTTAAAAAAACGAAGAAATATTTTTTAAATAAGTGATGGTGTAGTTCAAAATAGATGACTTCTCAGAGTGTTCTATGGACACTAACCATCACGAGAAGTATGGGAGACCAGACAAAGTTAAAACATGTGTTATTAAATATTATTCAGAAATAACATACTAATAATACTGACCTTGATTCTTCGCTGTAGTATTGAGCTGTATTCTTAAAATACTATTACAACCTTTTATGATGTGTAATAGATGACCTAAGCTCTCAAACTCAGTTGAGTCTTGGAAATAACAATAATAATAGTATAAAAAAAAAAGCAGCAGCTGGTTTTACAATTTTGCTTTGATCTCAAGTAACCTTAATAAAATAACAACAAAATTCTGTTGTTATTTAATAGGTTATTAATTATTGTTTTATTTTATTAATAATTATTTAATCTTTCCATACAGGTAAGACTCAGTGTAACCTCAGTTTTGTAAATAAGTTTGGAGGATAAATTACAAGTGATTTATACAAAATAGAACTTTTCTTCTTCAGAAGAAATCCCCCTCTAATGTTAATCCCAAAGGACTCACATTCTACCAATGCTCTTCCCTCCTACCCCTTGAAAATTTTCTCATGCATCACTTGATAACTTTGGAAGCTCAGGCACAAAAGTTCAAATCTCCATATATTTAGACAGTAATGGTGAAAGTAGTGTTATCTGACTGCAGACACCTGCAATGCTGACATCTTAGGGGGTCATCTGGATTTCCTTTAATTAATAAAAGAAAAAGGTTATATGACAGAATTCATCTCTTCACATTGTAATCATCTGAGATGAATCCATGTATCACACCCTAGGAAACGCCAATTGGCATTCAGTGAAGGGAATCTGTGTGAGAAAATCAACAGCTGAATTGTAGATGTAGACAAAGCACATATCTAAAGTTAGGTGAGATAAAGCCTATCCTATTCCTTCTTATGGACTGCAAACCTTACTTTTTTGTGGATCTTGACTGGAATGTTTTACACAAAGTATGTGATACAGTCACCAAAATATCTGTTTATACAATATGTCCAACTAGGTTTAAGTGTCATTTTTTATGGAATCTGTTTGGTAAAATTTGGTGGTAGAATTCTTAGTTTCTGACACTGGGCTGTGTTAGTTCACACAAAAATCTAGTCTAAATAATTAATGGGTTTAGTAATCCAGAAGCTGAGTTTAGTGACATTGAAAATCATGACTTGAGTTTTTATTTTAAAATAGATTTAATGCCATGTTAAAAGGATACTGGTCTGACAATTTTGATATGAAAAAATCTATGGCACACTTTTAAAAGTAATTATATAAATTATAAGAATTCATTTTCCCTAGACTTTCTTTTAGTATGGCTAAGCATTTCAACATAAAACTAAATGTATAGAAACATTTATTTAATGTTTTTATTACAGGTTAGAGGAAGAAAAGACTATTTTATCAGAATTTGAAGAGGACTTGAACAAGTTGATTTTATGGTTAGAGGAAGCAGAAAACATTATTGGTATTCCCCTAGAACCAGGGAATGAAGACCAGTTAAGAGACTGCCTTAGCAAAGTAAAGGTATCGTGAGTTTTATTCTTAATATTTTCTTACTTTATCAATTCTACATTGAAGAAAATTAAATGCTATTTTCAGAGAAGGCTTCTGCCATCAAATACAGTATTCATTTAACTTTTGTAGATGAATCAAAACAGTTGAATTTCAAAACCCAGATACAAATAGATACTGATCATATTAAAATCAGAAAAGTAATGGAAAATGTACTGAAAGGAAAATACCTATCCTGTCACTAGGTAATTAGTCATTACCTTTTTCATCCTCCTTTCTTAATTCAGAACTTGACTGTTTTATCCATAAAACATTTCTCTATAGATATCTTGTTAATCTTTTATAACTTCTCCCTTATGAAATAGTATTCAAAATTTAAAAAGAATATCTAGAATTACATGTATAATTATAAATATCAGCTGGTTAAAGTATCACTGCAACATTTTCTAGACTAAACATCTACATGACTTTTAACAAATGTTTTTTAAAAATACCCAACAAAATAGTAAATGTTTCTTTTTAAAGACTGAAATATTTTCATGATGATGCTAGAGCTTTTAGAATATGATACTGTTAATAAATATATCCAATAGAAGTAGCTCTGTTTAGTTTCTGAAATGTGTCCAACAGAATGACTATGTTTAATAACATGCACAATAATAAATTAAACTGGAGTTGGAAAATAAATATTGGTTATAGAATACCTGCCTAAATGTTTCCTGTCCTCTCTTGAGGTAAGGACCAGTTATCCTTTATGCCAATCCAAGTTGAACAAGTTCAGCAAGTGATGGAAAAGAGCATTAAAGAATCTGAAGGAAACTCATTAGAGTTTCTTCTAGCCTTCTTTCAACAATGTCTGAAAAAAATCTAAAATATTATTTAGTAAAAATCTATCTTCAGGTTTCTTTTTAAATAAACAAAAATAGGATAAACAGTACTGCATAGGAAATGAAGACTTAACCAAATGCTGAGTTTGTCCCCCTGTTTAGCATAAGATCTCAGTGAGTTGGACAGACAATTTGTGAAGCTTTGCTTCCATTGCCAAGCATATCAGAGCAAAGGCAAAGGAATATTTATAAGGAGTGTTAGATACATCTTATAATTTGCAGACATGATTATAAGTTTGAAGTCTTAATTGATGATTTTGAACGATGAAGGCTTCCACTCCTCATTCATATACAAATATTTCCCAATTGTAATATTCCCCAGGGATACATAATCTAAAATTAAAGGTATTACTATCTCTTATTTGTATCTCATTTTGACAGTTCATGTTGCTCTTTTGGAGCTCTACAAAAGAATGCATCCTAATACAGCAAATAATAATGCATTGGTTTACAGCGTGGTTTATTTCATACCTACCTGCTTATGTTCTTTTTTTTTTTTTAATAAAAGATCTTGAAGAACTTTGTCTTTTAGTTACATTATCCTTACTTGATATATCAAGTTACTTTGATAATAATAGCTTGCATAACTGCATATATGATGAAGTGGTACATTTAGATGATGCCTTGCTTCCTTTGGTTTTACTTCTGTGGTTTTTATATGAACATACATGAACATTCTTAATAATGAGGTTAGACTGAAGGGCTTTACACCACATACCATTGCAGTGATTGTGTTCACAGCATGAAACATGTTAAAACCCTTCTCCTAAGTGCTTGCTCTTTACCATATTAAAATATTATCAAAAGTTATGTACATGAGCTATTGAGTGTCCAGAAGTGGAATTTATCATGTAACAGTGATTAATATCATGAGAAACCCCTTATTTTGGCTTTTAGGACTGTCTTTAGGGTTGATCCACTATTACAGTCTCTTTTGGGGAGTTTTAGCTTTCTACATTCAGAAAGCCATGGTTATTTTTTCTTGAATTGAGTTTATTCCTTCAGCTGATGCACAAATCAATAAGGGTGAAGATAAGAGAGGTGAAAATTCTACCACAGTTCATCTTAACTGCTGTATTTGTCTGTTCCAGTTAAGAGTTGAAGAGCTGCTGCCACACAAGGGAATACTGAAACGATTAAATGAAACCGGAGGAATAGCACTTGGAAGTGCATCACTGAACCCAGACAAAAAACATAAGCTTGAGAGTACACTCAAGGAGGCTAACCACCGCTTGTTAAAGGTTAGATATATTGGTGATGTAACAATGGTATAAAATTTTAATCTGCAGCAAATATTTGTGTTATATATTTTCTAGTAAGTATTATTTTTCTCTATATGAAAAGATATTTGTATGCATAATAACCCTAAGGAAGAAAAATGTGTACAAATACGCTGCTGTGACAAACAATGACAGCAAACCAAGACAATTAGTGCCTGAAGTGATGATGTTGCATCCAAACATACTCCCTAAATTACAAATCTGCATAAGGGTGAAATGCAGAGCATTAATTTTGTAGCCTAGTTGTTTTGAGAGTACAACAAATATTCATAGAATCATAGAAGGGTTTGGGTTGGAAGGGACCTATAAAGGTCATCTAGTCCAACCCCTCTGCCTTTGGCAGGGACACCTTCCACTAGATCAGGTTGCTCAAAGCCTCTTATCTAACCTGGCCTTGAACACTTCCAGGGATGGGGCATCTTCAACTTCTCTGGACAACCTGTTCCAGTGCCTCACCACCCTCAATGTAAAAAATTTCTTCCTTATATCCAATCTAAATCTGCCCTCCTTCATTTTAAATCCATTGCCCCTTGTCCTATCACTACACACCCTTGTAAAAAGTCCCTCTCCAGCTTTCCTGTAGGCCCACTTTAAGTACTGGAAGACTGCTATAAGATCACCCCAGAGCCTTCTCTTCTCCAGGCTGAACAGCCCCAACTCTCTCAGCCTGTCTTCATAGGAGAGATGTTCAAGCCCTCGGATCACCTCTGTGGCCCTCCTCTGGAGCTAATCCAGAAGCTCCATATCTTTCTTGTGTTGAGGTCCCCAGAGCTGAGCGCAGGACTCCAGATGGGGTCTCATGAGAACAGAGTAGAGGGGCAGAATCATGTCCACGTGACTCAGGTGTGTGAGAGGCAGGAGCAAATGGCTGATTGCCTTTATGGAAACACTTCCCAATTCTCTCTTCTCCTCAACCCCTACATGGAAGCTGCAACCACTGTTTTACGTTTCACCATACTTCTTCCAACCTTGAGCTTTGAGTTCTAGTTTCTGTGTAGCAAAATACCACTCATTTTGCTTTTTGGGATCTCCATACTCAGGGAGAGAAGTAAGAGGATTTTGTTATATTTTATTACTGAAGTTATATATTTTTGTGTTGGAAACTGATAACAATGAATAGCAAAAGAGGTAAAGAGAGGTAAATAATTTGAGTGCTCTCCATACCTCACACAGCAGAAATGATAGAAAATGTTGTCTAGAGGACCACCAACCAACGTATGGATTATTCTGGTGGGAAAAGGTCAGTGTACAAGCAGGTGAAGGACTTCCCCTGAGACTGATGTCAAAATCAGAATCTGCGAAACTAACCTGTGGTGTATCTATTAGGTAAAGATACCGGAATGCCGTGGGAAAAAGAAAGAGGGATTTGTGCTTAGTTCTAGGGAAAAAAAAGGTGAAAAAATCTTCTGCGTATCTTACTGAAAAGACAGGCTAGAGTTTCTGGTTAAGACTATTACATCCTGGGTTTGTGTGGGTTTTTTTGTTTGTTTTTTTAACCATTTCTGAGAACACAGTTGAATTTCAAGCACAAACCTGGGAAATAAACAGGAACTTATTTGATGTGGGACACTAACTAGTTTCTTCCTAACAGAAACAGTCTGGCGAGGCTCAGAATATTAGCTAATGGCTTAAGCAAAAGTGGGTAATAAATATTGATCACATTCTCAAACTCCAAATTGGACACATAAATCATTATTTAGGTACTTGGACAGAAGTATCTCTTTCTCTACAAATGGATTTCTGAAATCAATGTATGTAGAAGAATTTAGACAGTTCAAGATCAAAAATAATGTTATTTACAAGCTGAAGTAAGAATATACATAGCTGAATTTAGGCAGCACAGTTTGAAAATCTGAGCTGTAGTATTAAAAGGACAGCATTAGTTTTCAGGAAAAAAAAAATTTACTTGTAGTAAAAGTACACGAATTTTAACAAAGTCTGTAATTTGTCTCTGAATGTAAGCTTTCACTGATTAGTCGTTTACCTAAAAACTTTACATTTTCACTTCCTGCTTGCTGATGCAGAAATGTTCCAGGTTATTTGTCACAGAGCAACTATGAATGCTGTTGAAAGTGGTTAGGTTCTGGATGAAACACGGAGGATAAAGCTACTGTTTAGTGAATCATTCTCTTTACAAGTTTGTCTCCTAGATCTAAGTAATGTTTCTGACAGGACATTAGGCTTGGAATTTGCCACTCAAAAACTTTCATTTACTTCTAAAAGACTAAAACTAGAAAATTAAACTTCCATTTGAGAATAAAATTAGTTTTATTTCAGCTATCTACTTATGGAGATACATAAAACTGAGAAATTCTTTCTGTCCCTTGGTAGCCGAATCTAAAGAATACGAAAAATGCAGTACATATTTCTTTAATGAACAGAAACTGAGTTTTAAAATTATGACAGTTAAATCCATACTGTTCTCTGAAGGTGTTCTCTTTCTCTGAAGCTTTTCTATTTCCCATATGATTTTTCCCATATATTTTTTGATATGGTGGGAGGGAAGGGGGAAGTTAAAAGCTGATTTTGGATTTCTGTCATTGGATTATTCCAATGAAGCTGAAGGGAATTTTTTTTTAATTTCTTTTACATTTTTTTTTTCCTCACTATTTCTGTAGGAAGCTTCAATTAATTTTTTCACTTTCTTTTCTGAAACTCTAAGGTCTGTAATAAAATCAGAACTCACAGAAAGAAAGTCTGAAGGCCTGATAGAGGGACATACGTTGTCTCCATTCAGTTATATATCTGCAAACACTGAAAAAAACCCTGCAGGTTTTACTGTGAGCCAAGCTCTCAGGTCTGGTGCTTTTATATCAGGCAAACTTCTGTAGGTCACATGAGGATGGTTCTGTAGTCAGTTGTTTTGATGAGGGTACCTTTTTTGTGTTCTTCAAAGTGCAGTGGACAAACATCATCACACACATTTCACTGGGGCTTTTCTGTCTCTCCATTCCCTTCTAAGAGTGTATCTTATACTTGAGTCCTTTGCTTCTAGCTGTTTTGTTTTCTGGTTTCTCTGCTAGTAATGAGCATGTAACAATCTAGCGTTAATGATTATCTCGTATTGCAGGATGATAGTATTTTCAAAATATGAAACATGTATGAAAGGTAAATAATGTAGGGTAAGTCCTTATCTGGTGTACAATAGAGTGATTTTGTTTACGTCAGAAGCTGTGACAATTTACACCAGCTGAGAATGTTGCCAAATATCTCCTAAGGATATGACAAATTTTTGTTTTGCCTTGATCTGCCAAGCAGAGGAATAAGGGACAACATTTGTGAGTCTTAACCTTCAAGGTGACATATTTGAAATAAGTTGTGTTCAAACTTTCTTTACAGTCACAGAAACTGCTGCCCTACAGCAATGGAAATAAGCTGAAAAAGAAATTGAGTATGAAAGGAATTGCAGTCACTTAAAAGAAGCTTTTTTTCTTTTGCTTCTGTATTGTCTTTGCTTTTAGGTGTTTATATCACGTGCTGATGACCTTGAGAATAGATATATGAAGATTTTTTCTTTCTCTGGATCGAAATAATTTTAAAATGACATTTCTTTAGACAACTGTATTGAACAGTGATTCTAACAGTCTGCTACCTGAAACATAGTTTAAGCAGAGAATGAAGATTAAAGCCCACGTTTGAAAGCATGACTTTCAAATTCTAGCCCGATTTTACTTATTGTACCCTCTCCAAAGCCAGTATTTCAAGTAAAAATGAAAATAACACTATCTTTGTGAAGTCCTAGCAGTATGAAAAATGAAGTATTTTATAACCATTTTAATGCATTCATATCAAGAATTTTTCGTTTATTTTCAAAGCTCGAAGTATCTTCTGCTGTGACCGCCAAGTAAGATAACCACCTAGTGCTTCAAAGCATACAAAAGGGGTACTAGGCACTGGAGTTTGTGATGAATTCAGTTCTTGCATATACCACCTGCCAGGGCATGTAAGAGATCTGTAATGGGTTTCTTACCTTTTACTGTGCAGTAAATGGATTGATAGATTAGGTCTGAGACCGGTGAACCATAGAATCAAAGGTTTGCTGGAAGGAGTTTATTACTCTTTAATATTATTCTTGGTCTGGTGTCAGCCAAGAGGGATGAGCTAGATTATCTGAAAGTAAGCTGGATGCCAAAATCAGCATTCTCCTCATTTATCCACCTTAGTCTTCAGAATGTCTACTGTATGTATTATGAAGGTTATTATAAGTGCCTGATGGAGACATTTTGTTTTGCTGCCTTTTAATTTGTCTGCTAGTATTAGAACTAATTACTAGACACTGAAGAGACTATTTCACTGTTTACTGCCACAGCAAATCAATTTGTTGTGCTATATGGACAAAAAAAAAAAATTGGAGTGGAGTGACATGACTATAATTTGTGAACATTTTTAGTACAACCAGGAAAAGTATAGGTCATCTTAGCTTGGTTGATCAAGTGTAGAGAAAAACAGATGGGCCTAGAAAGTGCAGAAAGAAAGTCATAACAAGGTTATAGTTCATGTACTGTAACTTGCCTTGAGTATTAATTATTCGTAGATTCACAGTCAAAAATATTGCTATTGCTACTATTGTTATTTGTGGGATGGAGGGGAAAAGGTCTTGTAAAATGAATGCTACATTTTGATTTCTGTGCTTTCAATTTGAAATTAGAATAGCATACCCAGCATTTTGGGGATAAAAAGGTTAATCTTTTCCTGAATTTGCTTTCAATTGATAAGTGACCCGATTCCCTTAAATGTAATAGTCTTACACTATGCTATATTACCTATGTCATGGATTGATAATTAGCTGTAGTCCACGTTTATGCTATCAGCTGTACTGACAAATGGCCTCACATATCGAAAAACAATGTTTGAAGTATATGTTGATTGGACAAATATGAGAATGTCACAAGCTCTAAGAAAAAAATTATATATAGGTTTCATTCCTTTTTGAGTATCTTAATTAGCTACCCCTAATGAAG